CATATATGATTCGAGCGTTTTAATGGACCCTAAACCTAAACTAAATTATAATTCATTTGAAAGCCTTGTTCTTAGTCTTTCTCACCCAAACTGGAAAACACTGCAGCCAGTTCTGTTTGTTATAGTGTACCGCGCTCCTGGACCGTACTCTGATTTTATATCTGAATTCTCAGAGTTTTTATCAAGTTTAGTCCTTAAATCAGATAAAGTAATTATTGTAGGTGATTTTAATATTCATGTGGATGTTGACAATGACAGCCTTAGTAATGCATTTATATCATTAATAGACTCAATTGGCTTCTGTCAGAGTGTAAATAAACCAACTCATTGTTTTAATCACACTCTTGACCGACAGACACAGTCTCTATGGGGTTTTGGGTGGGTGACTGTTCTAAAGAAAGCACAGAGAAGTGTGTAAGACAGCAGCTCTGCTTCCTGGTCCCAACTCTGGACTGTCAGGTTTTAGAAATAAACTTCGCCATATTTCTAGATAAGAGAGCCGCTCCATCCAAAGTGGGATGGATGCCGTCTCTCCTAATCAGACCAGGTTTTCCCCAAAAAGGCTTCCAGTTATCAATGAAGCCCACATCGTTTGCTGGACACCACCTCGACAGCCAGCGGTGGAATGACGACATGCGGCTATACATGTCATCACTGGTCACATTGGAATTCATAATATTAGCTTATAAGCCATTAGGCAAAACTTCCTACAGCAGATGTCTATCTGACAGTGCTGTAGCTAAATTTAAGGAGGAGATTCCTTCAGTGTTTAATTCAATGCCATGTCTGAATTTAACAGAATCCTAGAACGACTTTAGTCCCTTCGAAATTGATAATCTTGTTGATAGTGCTACAGGCTCACTACGATCAACATTAGACTCTATCGCTCCTATAAAAAGGAAATTATTAAAACATAGGAAACTAATACAACGTAATATTAGAAAAAATTAGACACATCCTATCACAGACAGATGCAGAAAAACTAATCCATGCATTTGTTACTTCAAGGCTGGATTACTGCAACTCTTTATTATCAGGTTGCCCCAATAAGTCCATTAAAACGCTCCAATTAATTCAGAACGCTGCAGCACGAGTACTGACAGGAACTAGAAAAAGAGATCACATCTCTCCTGTACTAGCTTCTCTGCACTGGCTCCCTATAAAATGTAGAATAGAATTTAAAATCCTCCTCCTCACCTATAAAGCTCTTCATGGTCAGGCCCCTTCATATCTTAAAGAGCTCATAGTACCCTATTACCCCTCTAGAACACTACGTTCTCTGAATGCTGGGCTACTTGTGGTTCCTATAGTCTCTAAAAAGTAGAACAGGAGCCAGAGCCTTCAGTTACCAAGCTCCTCTCCTGTGGAACCAGCTTCCAGTTGTGGTTCGAGAGGCAGACACCCTCACCACATTCAAGAGTAGGCTTAAGACATTCCTCTTTGATAAAGCTTATAGTTAGGGCTGGATCAGGTGAGTCCTGAACCATCCCTTAGTTATGCTGCTATAGGCCTAGACTATCGGGGGATTTCCCATGGTGCACTGAGCTCCTCTCTTCCTCTCTCTTTCTGCACTCATTCATGTTCCATTAATGCATGTTACTAACTTCACTTCTTCCCCGGAGTTCTTGTGCTTTCTTGTCTTGCAGGTTCTCATGGATCCTGGTGGAGCCTCCTGCCATGGTCCTGCTAGATTGCCATTGCAAATACTGTTGTTTGCTGTGCACCTGTCTGTCTGTCTGTCTGTCTCTCTCTCTCTCTCTCTCACCCCAACTGGTCGAGACAGACGACCACCCACCTAGAGCCGGAGGATCTGTCCTAGGTTTCTGCCTTTTAACAGGCAGTTTTTCCTTGCCCTTGTCGCCAAGGTCTTGCTCATGGTGGTACTGTTGGGTCTCTGTTATAATGTTTTAAAGAGTTCGGTCTAGACCTGCTCTATTTGAAAAGTGTTCTGAGATAACTTCTGTTATGAATTGGCGCTATACAAATAAAATTTAATTGAATTGAATAAGTGCTTCGTAACTGCCTCAATTCATGAAGTCCTGCATTAATAACTGTTTATAGGACATCCATTGGAAATTAATTTGTGAGTTTTTTATGGAACATCTGCTAACACAGTCACTAATCATTAATACATGTCTGAATAGTGGATGTGCAAGTGCATGAAATGTACAGTACAATGAAGAGTAAAACATTTATAACTGATTATAAACCACATAGTAATGACTATTTACAGCAGAATCATGCTTTATAAATGATGAATTCAGTATTTACTAATCCATAACTAATGTGCTTATCAATGATGAATAAACATTTTTTAACTGTTTATAAACTACATACTCATGTGTATTCATGCGTTATAAATGATGATTTCATTATTTATTCATGCTTAACTAATGCTTAATAGTGTGTACTCATTATAAAGTGTTACCCTATTTACTTTATATATGCTCCCTTTAGGCAACATTATTAGGAATCACTCGTTTCATCAACAGCTTCATCA